TCCTGCAACTACTACTGATATCAAGAAAGCTGAAAGAACTTGTACAGTCCCTGTTCATGCAACTCAGGCCGCCAAGCATATTAAAAAAATAGAACAGATTTTTCAGCTTGGCCTGTGGCATAGAAGAGATTGACATGGGAATGTTAGGTTCCATGTCAGTGCCAGAATTTTGAGAAGGACACTGAGATGTCACAGGAGTGCAGAAAAGGACTCCAAAATAAAACAAACCAGAGAACTCAGCGACACTTGGGAAACATCATCGATACGGCTGTGATGTCTTTTAATTGAGACAGAGCGTCTTCAAAAAAAAAAAAAAAAAAAAGATGCACTTTAGTTAACACACTGGCTAGGAAGTTGAATGTAAGAAAACTCAACTGAAATGCAGTGGCCTGCAAGACAGAGGAGGTCAAACTAGACAGACTAATGACCTCTCTAGACCTCAAAACATCAACTGGTTGCAGTAAGGCTGATACATGTACAAACATTTGCAAGATTGGATTGATACAGGAATATTTTTTTAAAAAAAAAAGTAATATATTTTGTTTCACAGAAAAGAGAATTAATAAACAACATTAGAATGAACTCAAACTGATTTAAAATTATCCTTTTAAGACCATCTGATAATATCACTGAGGCAATTCCTAACACTCATTTTTCACGCAACTTACATTAACCTAATTAGCAGAAGAAGGGAGTAATTAGCCACTGCATTATCACTTCACCTGCTCTTCTTAAGGCTGAACAAACCCAATCCTCTCAGCCCCACCTTGTACATCAGCCCACTAACGACCTTGGCGGCCCTTCCTGGGCTCACCCCAGTATGTTACTGTATGTTTTGTTCTGGGTGGACCAGCACTGAGTGCACTCTCACAGGTGCCATAAAGAGGACCAGAATCACTTTCCAAAGCGCTGGCACGTTACACCCTCACTGCCTAACACAGCCCGAGGTGCTGCCGGCCCCACTGCAGCGAGGGCACTGCCCAACTTGCTCTCCATCAGGAACCCTTATGTCCTTTCCTGCAAAGGTCCTTTCTGACCAACTGGCCACAGCCTGTGGTGGCGTGGTGGTCACTCCGGAGCTGGACTTTGTCTTTGCTGAGTGTCAGGTCCTGTCAGCCCCACTTCTCCAGCCTGTCGAAGTCCCTCTGAACCTGGATGGACCTCCAGCATGTCAGTCACCCGCCTGTTTGCTCTGCGTGTCCTGCATCCCATTGTCCCAGGTCATTGATAAAGACATTAAGCAATACTCGCCCAAGAAGTGACCCCTAAGGATCAGCTGGATGTCACCTACAACTCTTCAATCACAGCCTTTTGCATATAACAGTCCAGCCCATTTTCCACCCACCTCAGTGACCCGCACTATGTCTCAGTAATTCGACTACAAGGACACTGTAACATCCACTGCTACCCCCCTGAACCCAGAGCCATTTAGTTCTTCAAAGAATATCAGTGACAAATTACAGTATCTCTCCTATAGGTATAACAACTCAGCCAAGAAGAGCTAAGGAACTTGAAACAAAAAGGGGCCCAAACAATAGGCCTCAAACCAAAGTTGACTTCTGAGTGAATTCCCCAACCAGCAATCAGCATCTTATCAGCAGACTGAAGCAACCAGTATCTTATCAGCATGAATATGTAACCCTGGGAACAATCCTTGGGAACTATAAGTAAACAATAGGAAGTAACTACAAATCCCAAATGTAAAGAAAAACAGAAACTCCTCAGACATGCCCGGATCCTGGCCAGATCCGGACATGCCTGAGTGAGGCATATCAATCTACCAGATATCTCCTGTGCGTTTTGTTTAGACTTGTTTGTTAAACTGTATAAAAGCTGGACCCTCTCACAGCACAGATGGAGACCCCACCTACGAGCGGACGCCCTGCGTAGGACTTCCCAATTGCCGGGAAAGGCTCTGCGACCCTTCGCTGTGACGGGGCTCCCCAGCTGATGCACGGGTCTGGATGATGGTAAAGTATGAGGGCAATTGGTGATGTATCTTTCTTAATCACTATAGCTAGCTTTAAATAGTAATGTCTAGGTGCATTACCTTGCATATTCTTTCTGCTATTTCTACTATAGTAAAATTTCTATTTCTACTAAAGTAAAATAAGCCTATTTCTTTAGCTTGGTGTCTGTGTCCTTTGTGTTAACCCCGTCAATTGGCAAAACAGAACTCTGCAGCCTGTTTGAGTAATAAGGAGTAGCAGAGGGGAGCATTTATCAATACCATGTTAAGGGTAGAAGTGCCATTTATTAAATTTTACTCTAGTAGCATGACTGATACACTAACCAAAGACTGTTGAATGTAGCCACACAGCAGTCACCACACATGGTGAAACACTGGGAAAAACTCAGAAGGCCGGACGCGGCCCGGCCGGTGTCAGGGCCGCGCAGCTGCAGGGGTGCCCCCCAGCCACGCGCCCAAGGCAACCGGAGAGGCCGCTGCTCGCTGCCTTCAGCTGTCCTTCTGGCACTTGGCACTGCGCCTGTGGCAAAAGACGACTGTCCCCAAGCTCTGCTCGTGCTCTTCTGCTTTTTTAAGATAATAAAAACCAACAGCAAAAACACTCACGTGGATCCTCCTCCCCTTTCTGCATTCTCACAGGTATATTAACAACGCTATTATCCTTCTATTTGTGTTAGTACTGCGCTCCATCGTCCTTTCTGTGAGCCTGAAGTTAGACGGACTTTGAAGCTGTTGATCTGGCGACCACGGGTAACTGTGCCTGATCATACTAGTCAGTAAAATCAATGTCCCTGTCTTGAAGTTTTCTAATTCTGAAGAGAAAAAAAAAAAAGTGTTCAGGAATTGATTACATTAAAAAAAAAACCCACTCAATATTAGTTATTTATTTTTTACAGTTCTATAACATACAATTACTTTAATTTTGAAAACAAGGAAACTAATATACAACCATCTTAAAATGCCTGACCAAAGCCATTTCGCCAAGCTGAAGGGAATCAAGCAGCAGTCAGTATTGATGCCTGTGAGCTCAATCAGCTAGGTTAAAGCTTCTCAAACTCTTCTTCCAGAGTCAGATTTCACTTGAAAACACATTTTTCGATTATGACTGTGCTATTTCTTGCCAAATCAGGACAGGATATGAGATATTGAGTAACAGGTCAGTGCTGGTGATGAACAGCAGCGAAACCTCCTGTAGGCGCCACCAGCTCACCCTCCACCAGAGAGCATCACGCAGACGTCCCGCACCAGAGCTCTAGCTGCTCCCGGCTTACTGGGAACTGTTCCCTCCAGCAGCTCCCGGGCGAGGGTCAGCTTCTGTTTTGCGAAAAACTTTATGCAACAGGACAAAAGGTTTGGGGCATGAGCAGGTGTGAAGAACTTGGCGTCCCCCAAACCCTTTTATTTACCCAGAGAGGCTTTTCAGTACTAAGACCTAATTCATACAAACACAACAATAAGCCAAATAGTGCCACACCCAACAGCTTAGCCTGGGCGTTTATGTTTTATCCATCTCATTCTGGTGCAGTGGGAACGCAGACCGCTGCTGGCGGGGCGCCGGGCGCTGGCAGGGCGGGGGGCAGCCCTGCGGCCCTGAGCCCACCGCAGGGCTTGCGTCCCGTGGGTGCTCCGAGACCGCCCGTGCAGCGCCCTTTGTGTGGCTCGAGGGCAGCGCCAGCAAGGCCACGGGATTTCACAGGGATGATTTCTTTGCAGAATTCAGGTATTACACACTACTTACCTTTTTTTTTTTTTTTTTTTTTTTTTTCCTCCTGAAAATGTGTTATTATATGAATTATTATACCGGTAAAAAAGGATCATAAGAGATACTTCAGCTTGTAAAGAAGGTTCCTTCTAAACTTGTGCTGTAGTAGCCTTTAACAGTGCTCTGACATGGTTCAGTGTTTGTTTCAGATTCTGTTTCCTAGTATTTTAATACATAACATTTAATTCATACCAAGACTTCAGCCCGTCAGAGCCCCATTGTAACAGGGCCCCCGCGTAACGAGAACAATAACAAGCCCATTTCCTTTCGTTTCTGGCTAAAGAAGGGGTCATTTTTTGGAAAGAATTTTACCAAACACTAATGTCAGGTATTTCATTACTATGTATTTTTGGTATATGGCATTAGCGTGGCCTGACCTGCCAGAGACCTGTTCCAGTACATAGTCCTGCCAAGGAAACAACATCCATTCCCTATTTTGTTTGTTCCTGTTACATAGTAACAGAAGTGATGCCCCATCCAACTTGGCTCACCCTGCCAAAGTAACTCTGCTTCCATATAATTATCTGGTAACAAAAGATTAAATATCATGTTGAAAACTGCATATTGCCCATGATTGAAGTCATAACATTGCGGTAAACTAGTTCTGGTTTACTCTTCCAGCTAGCCTACCATTCTATAGAACTAAAGAGAAAATAGTACCAAATACCTGCAAACTCTTAAGATGGTCTTGTTTGCTCTTTGGATGACAACAGGGATGAGTGGGAATGGTGGGAGCAGACACTGCCAAGTGCCAGGAGAGCACTGACACACCTACTTGCGAGGAGAGGGGCTTGGACTCTGACGTGACTCTCAGCAAAGCTTCTAGCATCATCTGGTTTTGTCCCGAACAGGTGTTTTACCATGCTTGCTGAAAACTAACCTTACTGTATAGAACACGAGAGGTATTTTTTTTAATGACACTTTTCCTGAGCCAAACTTGAAAAGGGCTGTGCACACCTGAAGGTGAGGGTCTAAATGAGCTTATTCTACACAGACAAGCTCAGCAGTGCCATGGCTGGCTTGGCACTTCCTCCTTTCTTGAAGTAATATGCAGTAATGGTATTGTACGTAAAAACACAAATTGCTAGTTTCTGGATGAAAACCAAAACCACCCAACTTGCTCCATTACAAAGTATGTACATTATGGACTCCTAAGCAGATCCTCTTATTTGCATCTGACTTTCCTTTACAGGCACTCCACAAGAGGCCCGTCACCACAGTTTCTGCAGGGAACAGAAGCAAATTAAGATTACTTTTCACAAGGGCAAGTGGCAGAGCACTACATTTTTATTAGGTGGATATAATTTAGCAACTGAGTAATCATTCTTCTTTGTGAAAACTTCCTCTATAGTTAGCTCCTCACTAAGCATCTTTCCAGTAGGAACATAAATACCGAGAGGAGTCACTGAAAAGGAATGGATGGAAGAGGGTGAATCACTGAGGGCAAGTGGTAAATTTTCAGGTGTCTCATGCTTTGGTCAGCAGGAGTTTCAGTCACTGAGGCAGTGATCTGTTCTCAAAGGAAGACCCCATGAAAAGGCAGAGAGAAGGAGCGCTGTATTTTGACGCAGTCAGATCACCTTTTCTGACACGACTGGCAATCATCACCACGCAAGGGCATGAGCCAGGCAGAAATCCTTTGGGTTTCCTAGTGGCTCTGGGGCTGTCAGCATTCCTTCTCTGGCTAGAGAGCTGAACAATAAAATTCCAACCTGATCACAGAAATGCCTGTTAGAGCATTCTGGGATTCTGCAACATCATTTTTAGAGCTGGGTAATTGTTCATAAACTAGACAGCAGGAGAAATAATGTCCTTTTCGGAGCGATACCTGTCCTGATACGGGGAACTGATGTCTTCTGGAACCTTGCATACGCCTCCTGAACTTGAGGTTGAAGATTCAGTATCCAGATCTACAAGATAAGCCTTCAGAAACCTCACAGATACTGTACAATTATACATGTCTTACTCTGAGGCAAATTATTATTTAATATGCTCATGAGGTGTGATACAGCACTGTTAAGAAAAGGTAAGGAAAGAACACAGATAACTGTGTTTTACAGGAGGAGATCAAAAGTATCTCAGCATTAAGGCTTTTGAGGGATATTCCTCCAGAATTTCAAAGTTACTAATTGTACTAAACAGAGAATCTACAAACTGTTCATGGCTGAAAAAAATGTGATTACGTTCACAGCAGCATAATTCCAATTCACAGCACAGGCACTGAGAAAGAATAAAGCAAGTTTCTCACTATTTGTTTTATTTTTATCAATGTATATAGTGCACCTATCACCAAGTATTTTTAGGTACACAAACAATAGAAATTTAAAAACACGTAAAATAAATGACTCCAAATGGACAAACTTAACAAACAGTAATGAAGAAACTTTTGTGGTTCAGGTGTGTCAAACATTTTAAAAGTATAAATACATTTAAAATATACAGCACTAAAACTATTTAGTAAGTATTACGCTAAAGCTATACAATCATTTCCCAGAGTATCAGCACACTTATTCAATTCAGCCTTATTAGCACCTTGGTACCAGTTGCTGAATGGCTCCCAATTAATATTACATACCAACACCAGGTGTCAAAGACAGCTATTTTTTTTTAAGTAATATGCAAAAGGCTTTTTTTCCGCCCAGCAGTTCTTCAGATAGAACATACAATAAACAGAAAGAAGAAGTACTTGTTATTCAAGTTTCTAAACGTTAATTACTGTATTATCTATACTGTAAGAAATTCTTCAGTATTGTTGGCAACTGGAGTTGTGGGACAAGATGCAGTCTAGCCCTTCCTATGTAATTTCGGATACATAGTCGGCAGAGCTGACAAAGAGAAGATGGTGTAGCTGCAAACAAAAAATAAAGGAGTTTAATTATACAACTATAAAAGCCAGTACTTTGGTTTACATCAGTCTCACACAACAAAGAGATTTCTAAAAAAACCCCAAAGTTCACATTTTGCGTATTTGTCATTTTCCCTCCTTCCTTTTCCTTCATTGCCCTTTTGCCCTCAAAGGTAAAGGCTGGGGCTGCCGAAACCTTTTTAATAATTTGGGAAACACTCAAAGAAGGAAGGTCGGTCAGGTCAGCAAAATAATTTGTGTTTTTAAATTAAAAACCTGCTCCCAGAAAAGATCTGATGTCAACAACTTTAAAAACTGCAGGGTTTTAAAATTTTTATTGCTAGAACAGGTGACATACAAGCTACAGCACTACAAGCTGCACCAGCAATGCATCACTGCCACAAGAATAAGAGGCAAAATACCCCGAGATCCTGGACCATGCTTAGTGGCCTTACTAGCTCACGGGAATGCCCTTGTCACCCCATGCCCTCCAGCTCCCCCAGAGTGAACACATTGCTCTGGTCAAATCAGCCACACATACTTCATGCCAATTATTTTTTTTTTTTTGTCTGTGGCTTTTAAAAATCCTATTGGCCTTGGTGATTTTGTGATAACCAACTGTTTTTAGACATTGGGCTTTTTTCAACAGCATTCAGACCACAGAGATGTTTTATGAAGGCAAACATTAATGAATGCTACTTGTCAGTTCACCTCTAAATAGGTGCACACGTGTCTGCTTATTTCCCACCTTTGACTCGTGGCTGATTTTTACGCTGTCAGTTTGAACAAATCCAGTTCCCTTTGGGATATTTTCTCTTTCTCTATGGCAACAGACCTTTAAGAGTTTTAAGGGACTCTTAAGTGTCGACTCCTATTTCTCAGGTACTTATAATCAGTAAATAAAATTTAGAAAATTAAACTTATTATACTTTCTGCCTACAATCAAAATAAAAATATATTTTTAAAAATATTGGGACAGCTGGAAAAGCTAAATATATTTCTAATCTGGAATTTAAATATTCTGTTTCTTTTTAACAAGGTCTGTAACAGCCAGTAAAAATGTAGCTTGTGTAAACATCCAATAAACATAAGATGATACTTTTTCAGCTAGTCTAAATTCTGATGCTGCTTGGTCAGGAGGCTCTGGATTGAGACTAAATATTAATGGGTATTTTTACAGTTAGAAAAGAATTTACCTGAATGTTAATACATTCATTTCATAAAGCACAATGTTAGCTTCTATAACATGGGTCATTCGGGCTTTGGGGACCTTTTTTGAGGGGTGGGTGTTTTGTTTTTTTTTAAGAATACAAGTTATAGTTGTGAAAACACACATGTAAAACTTACCTTCATGGAGGAGCAGCAGTCTCTCCACTAAACTGCTTGGAGCAGCTAAATCAACAGGCCTCTCAAAATCTGCATTTTTGGCATTTATGTCTGCCCCAAATTCAAGGAGTAAGTTTACGATCTCTGTACTAGAATGCTGGGCAGCAGCATGGAGTGGAGTTTCCAAATGCTTTCCTTTCTGCACATTGGCACCTGATGGGTAGATGCACACAAAGAGACATAAGAAGAGATTAATTAAAATTGTCTTTGAGTAAAGATGATGTTACAAAGCAAACCAAAAAAACCCCCACTGTCATAGAATGCCACAGAGAATTTAACCACTTTATTAATTTTATTTCCTAGCACTATACCGAATCATATCAGTGGGGGGTTTTTTTAACCCACACACTTATCCTAGGCTTTCTTACATAAGCACAACTAGATTTTAACGGAAAATACTTTACAAAAAGAGGGAATATAAAAATCAGATTAGGTCATGTAAGCATAATTGTTGTCCTATTTATAAAAAAGTACATTCTGTACATGTTTAAGAAGATTTGCACTACATAAAAAAATACTTTCCTTATTTAAGTCTTTAAAAAGAATCACTAAACTGAAGTTTAGTATTTATATTTTTGTAAGTACACCAACTCAAGAAGGAATCTAACTTGGACATTTATAGTTTTTCATCTGTTGAAGATGACAAAGGGTTTGAAAAAGATTTCCCATCCAACCTTTATCAGTGATTTTTCTATAAAAGACTTAAAATTAAAATTAATTAAGGTGGGGTACGCAGTCAAGAAAGCCAATAGCAAAAAAACCGCAAGCCATTCAGTCTCTCAATCCACAGAACTCTTAATTGTTACACTTTTGTATTAATAAGGAACTGCTAAAAATGGACTAAATTAATTTGCAATAATGAATTCACATTCAAGAAATAAATTATCCATACAAGCGTTAAACAAAACTAGCTAGTATGGAAGAATTTCCCTGTTAGTCCCCTAAATCTGCGTTTGCCCCAACGGTTTTCTAGACTATTCTAGCAGAAGAAAAACCCAGATTTCTTAAAAGAGATTTACTGATCTTGTGAGACCAAAAATTGGCTCTGTATCAACTTTTCTCCCTGAATCAACAATTTTTGTCTTTTTAATTCCCATTTGAGTAAAATAATTTAACAACATCACAGGCCTAGAAATTAGATTTGAAGTCTGAATAATTCACTGTTTTCAGTATTAACAATGTGAGGATGTTTCCATGGTACCATTCTCTATTTCATTGTCTGTTTGTTTTTCAACTCCTAATACATTCTCATAAACTGATAAAATATGAAAAAATTCAGATTGACAGTAGTAGTTACTTATATGCTCAATTTACATACCCTCCTCTATTTTGGGGCAGCAATGAATGTAGAATATGCCCTTCTGTTACTGTTTTTAATGTATGGTAGTATTTGAATTGCAAAATATGCTAATTATACTTGTGCAGTTCTTAAAATATAAAAATCATGACACAGGATTGTTAATTATACAAGGAGACTGACTTAACAAGAAATAATTTAACTGCTTGTTTAAGTTCTAAATAACCTGCAATTAACTAGAAAAACAGTTCTGGTGCAATGATGGCAAGTCTGTAATTATTCATATATACATTTTAATTCCTTGTGCTGCAGGACACAAAAGCCCTGTATGTCGTTACCTGAAACACAGCAAATGATCCTTTAGCTATGCCAGTTGTGTCCCTGGATTTGTGCTGAAACAGAGCGAGCCTCCAACATCTTTCCCACTGATTAAATATATAATGTGAAATATAGGTTCAAATGCCTTTTACCTTACCTCTTTCTCTCTGCAACTCAGCCTCTATAACTTGTAAAAAGATCAATCACAGCATGATGAACAATGGAAAAGGGTGAGACTACATTGCTAAAAAAGTTCTGTTGAAAGCTCAGTGATTAATATATAAAATTCCTTCCTCAGAGCTGCTATTTTAACCTTTGTTTTCCTACAGAAAATTAACATCTACTTAGAAGTGGAGCCCTGCAAGGAAGGGGTCTAGTTTCACTGACTGAGCACAGCTCACTTCAAAGATGAGTACAGTATGCTTCTTTTACAAACTAGTCATATTTTTACTGAAATCATTACATACCTGCATAAAGAAGCTTTCGAATGCAATGGATCTGCTGTGAAACACATGCTACATACAGAGGGGTTCCTAAATGAGGAAGATCTTGGTCAACATCTATACCCCAGGATATCAGTACCTCCAGACATTCACTGTGACCTGTCAGTACAAAGCGTGACAGAGTTTGCTCGACATCAGTAAGTTCTCTCATATGCAAAACCGGACACATTTTTTAACGCTATTACTGAGACATTGGGCAACTGCTCCATGTTTGTTCAGCAGGTAATTTCTTACCTCTGCTGGCCGCTTCGTGAGTTGGTGATGGAAGACAGGACTCCCACTGAGCTTTGGCACCATACTCTAACAGGAGCTCAGCACATGCCGCACTACCTCTCGAACATGCATTAAATAAAGGTGTCACTCCATCAATTGTTGTAGCATTTACCTAGAATATATATATATCATCAGTTTAAGAACAGAACTGAAAGAGGGGTGACATTTTAAACAGGATCTAGTTAGAAATTGCACTAAAATACCCCAAAATTTACTGGTTAGAATAACATAGCTTAACTGATCGGTCTCTGGGCTATTTACTGTCTTCCTTTCACCACACCCCTCAGCTGAAATTAGTTCACTATTATTCTTGTCAAAATGTGTTGAATAAACCAAAATACATTTGGAACACTAAAGCGCACACATTAACATCTGGGCAGTAAATAATTTTCAAAAGTCATTGCACTTATCTTGTTTCACTGATACAGAAAATGTACACTTTGTGTAGTAATGGGATAACGGGGACCTTCTCTCCACAGCTGTCAAGAATGCAAACTCCATATTAAATGTTAGAATTATTTGCCATTTTTTTCTGTGTTTTTAATCTCCAGGTTGGAGTGATATTTCACAGGATGGAGACAAAGCTAATAGTACAGGGTCGTTGTTTTAATACCAACTTTGACACCTCACTGGTTAACTGAATATTCCCAGTGAGAGAAGGAGAGAAACAAGGCAGATTTATGAGGACTAGTAATACTAAAGGAAGGAGCACAGGTATTAGGAGAGCGCTCCTTCCAGGACTCTAGTCTATCTTCTTCCATGCACCCCCAAACCCACCAGAACAATTAAAAGTACTAAAAAAATTCATATAGGAAAATGAAATTTGTTCTTACAGTTTTGTCTGTATTATCTATAGTTTTGGATCTTTAGAATCCTTGTGCTAGCTGGGGAGGAATTATTTTTTAAAACACCTATGTATTTGTTTCTTTTTTATGTGATAACATATTCTACATAGTTCTCAAAACTGAACTGTAAGAACAACAAATATTTCCATCATAGAGCAGAGATTTAAGAAACCAAGTATTTTGACTCTGATGTCAGCAGAGACTGTAATGAAAGTGGTCTTTAAAGTCCCATTTTTGTTTTGGGATGATAGACAGCCTGCATCAGAAATACAGAAAAGAGCCAGTGCTTTTTTGTACTCAGACCAAAGAATCTTAAGAGCACACAAGTGCAGTGTGATGAAAGCCATTCTAGCAATTAAAAGAGCAGTCTCCTGCAAGCTACTCAAAGCAAGAGGAAACCAGTAAAGAGAGGGATGCATTCCATATTTTAGAAGAGAAATAATGAAATTCAGAGAAGAATTAAGGCTGGTGACATATTACTAGCAGATTCTCTCCAATTCATTACTCTGTCTCAGTGTCTGCCCATCACTTTCCTTTGCTACCTTTCAGAGAGCAGCTTATTGTAATTAAGTGAGATCCACGCAATCAATAGGGTGAGGAGAGAGAAACCACTTAAAAAAAAGAAAAATAATCAAGGTATATATCCTTTCCAGCTAAACCAAGATTAGCACTGGACTTCATACACAAAAAAAAAAAAAAAACCACGCTCTTACATTTGCTCCTGCTTCAAGAAGGATTCTTGCACATCCTACATGATCTCCCAGGCAGGCTTCATGAAGTGGAGTTACTTGGTCAATTGTTAGTGTGTCTACATTGTACCCCTAAACAAGACATGAATGACATATAAAGATCACACAAAAGCTGTTAAGAGCTGTTTCCTCACACTACTGTTCAAATGAACAGTTTACAATATACTAAATAGGCTTAAAACTCTACTTGAAATAAATAAGTCTTCAGTGAGCATAAAAGGAATCTTTCGTCAATGTATATAACAAAGTAAATTGTCAGATTTTTTTTTTTTTTTTTTTTAGAAAAATCAGAAATTGTAATAGGATTACAGAGGGTATAAAGAAGAAGGAAACAGACTGTTGAGATAGACAGTGATAGGACAAAAGGCAACAGACACATGTTGGAACATGGCAAATTCCAATTAGTTATATGGAAAACAATTTCACTGTGGGGAGAGTGAAACCCCAGGCAGGGGTCCAGAGAGGTTGGTGCATCTCCACTCCTGGTGATCTTTAAAACTCAGCAAGGCCCTGAGTCTAAACTGTCCTGTGATTCTATGATTCTCTGACCAAAGGTCCGAAATATCTAAAGCCAGGAATTTATCAAGGAAAACACTTCTTGGATTGATAAAATCATCAAGTCCTTGATATTTTCTGCAATAGATGTTGTTTGATTCTTAAGAACTAATAATTGCATCTATTGGCTTTCATCAAGTGTATTCTAGCTACTACGATACTGAAAAATTATACTATAATGTGACCATACTGTGATACTAAAATGTAGTGGTTTACAGTCTCTTCCTTTGCTATTAACAAAATATATACTTTTTTAAATCACCACTATGCAAAAACCAGATTCTTTCAGTGATTCTTCCCCTCAACAAGTACCTTCCTGACTAGCTCTGTTTACCGGAGGGCTTAAAGCAGTGGAACCACACTGACTGATACCATGCAAGAGGGGAAGACATTTAGACAGAGCTTTGGCATTTTTTTTTTTTTTCTTTCAGGGGGGAAGTTCTCAAACAAACAGACAAAATATTTTAAATATTAACTTATATCTTATCATATAAAAAATTCCTAAGTGTGCATTGGTCTGAGAAATTCAAATGAAAAAGCAAAGCAAAGCATACTAAATCTGCATTAATAATCTATGGTGAGAAATTAAGTAACATTAAAAATGAAAGCAGCCTTCACCTGTGACAATAAAGTCTTTAGAGAAAGAAGACGTCCTTGACTGGCTGCCTCATGCAGAGGTGAGCGATCTGCCCAAGAACCTATACAATAACAACATTTATTGAGTAAACCATATGAATCAGAAGGACTTTGGAATGCATAGAGCAAAGCAGAAAATATAATGCACAGAATGAAGTCAACTGACCTATGAAATTAATTCTTCCTCTTTAGAGACTGTATTTCAAATCATCAGTTTCTAGACAATAAAAACTGCTCTATTATTAACTGTAAACATCTCTGATAAGTGATTATGTGGTACAGAGAACAAAATACCAATATAGTGATTTCAGTAATCTGATTTAATAAATTCATCGATTGTCATATTTCCCACTTCTATTTTTGCACGGTTCATTTAAAAAAAAATAAATCATATAACTTATTTTTGCAGTTGGCATACAGAAATTTATAGACCTTCACAAACTGATATTTGAACTTAAACCAGACAAAAACCGGCCTGAAAGAGTCCCCAAAAAAGCTGTTGTTTATGAAAATCAATATGGAAATCCTTATGTATTATAGGATTAACCTGCAGCTACTACACAAATGCAAGGAGAGAAATACAGTGAGAATCACACTAAAAAAATGACTACAGTAGAAATAAAATATTAAGTCTGAGTTATCATTCTAATAGGCTATTAGGGCTAAAAATAGTTAGATATGCTTAATGTAAAGGCTTGGCATTTATTTTCATTTACTTATCACCCTCAAAAAAGAAAAGGAAAAACAAAAAAGAAACCCAACAACAACCCTGCCTTCACACCCACAGACCCCCTTAACTCCCAGCGCAGGTCCCAGAGTCATCCTGTGGCTCCTGATGAAGAACCTGCCCTTTCCTCCAGAAGACAAGGCCGCAGGCATAGCTGCTACCAATTTATTGTATGAATTTTGCAAATCAAGTTTTGAGACCTTGTGTAAGGAAGAAGCATCTTCAAAATACATTATGAATCACCTATATTTATTCCTGTAAGAAGAAAATCACTGGGACTGTAAAATGCTAATACAATCATTCATGTGAGTTATATCAAGCTCCCAAAAATCCGCGAAGAAACAGAGAGAGAAATAGCTAAGTAATGAATTAGTAACAATGGCAGATGAATCTCCAACGTGTAAATGTGTTTGACTTTGCCTGTTGCAATGGACTAGGACTGCCTGCAAAGCCAGTCACCGCATGTTAGTGACAAGGCAATGCATTTTAAATGAGAAGGTTACTGCTCAGTCACCAGCAATCAGTCTAAGCTCTAAGGTAACTGACTGGGAATAGACTCTGCTTCTGTTTCCTATCCGACCCCTTCTGACCACTAGCCGGTTTCAGAAAGTACACTTTTGGTTACAATAAACAACCCCCTCAAATCACATGAAGAATGGCTGAAAAGATTACAACAGCTCAACCTGAAAGTAAACCAGGGCATAGTTAAAAACATACGGAATAGTGCACAATATGGAAATTGAGATAAAGCCTCCATTTTCCCAGAGGGGTTAGTGAATGAAACTAAAACTTACTCAGATGTAAGACTGTATCTTCTCACAGAACATACAACTACACTGAGGAACTCAGCACTAGCGGATGCTATTGAGATCAAAAACTTAGCAAAACAAAAGCACAGCTGAGTATTTAAATTATCACAAAACTATATAAAGCTGATCAGCGAAGTTTAAAAATATAGGAGATTAAGGCTTTGTAAACCTGATCTTAAAAATGCATGAAGATTCCTATTATGTCAGAGTATCCAGTATCTGTGAAGCATCTTGTACGCTTTCATCTGTGTGAATAGACAGACCATAAGCAAGACCCAGCTTCCAATACTTTTTCAGAATTATTTGCACTAAGCTCTGATCATCTGTGTGCGCATATGCATGTGCATGCACACACATCATTCCCTATACTTTTTCCTTTAGGTTTATTAAATGTAATATTTTGCAACTCTTATTTCTAGTCAGAATAACAGCTAAAGAAAAACATCCATAAAATTATTGGAATTTTAAGGGGTATTATACTACAAAAACTGAGCTCAGAAATCTTAAAGTGACCTGATTTTGACAAAACATCAGTATTCGCTCTGTCATCCTAATAAGATCAGATATATTTATCCTATTGTACCTTGGATGCGTTCAATCACTATGAGAATTTTGACTAATGTTTTCCCTCTTCTGTAGTAGTATCTGAACCAGCACCTGAGTCGTTCTAATTCAAATTAATAAGATTCATTATGTTCTGCTGCTGGCAGCTGCAAAGAATTCCTCAAAAATAATTTAAAGCTGTATTCAGAGGCTGCTTTTGAAATTTTGTCCCCCTGTCTCTACAGATGAGAACATCTTTCTTTTAACAGTTTATCCTACTCCCAAATTAAGGAAAAAAAGACAAACTACTATATAGAAAAACATTTCTTACAAATATAAATATAAAGAAGCTTTTGGGCCCATTAAATACACTCACATGTTGGACATTTTTGTAGCTGCAGATAACTAAACAGAACAAAGATGCAGGCAGATTCTGAAAGCAACATTTTTTTTCCACCTTTATTTCCTTCACCTCCTTCCCTCTTGGATTGCTCAGAAGGATGTCTGTTAATGTCATTGCTCTAGTGACATTTGAGAATCAAATGATGCCAGATCCCCCTGTGAGCTCTGTTTTGCACTTAGACCTACCTTATATCCCTATATTCATGTAGAGACATCCAGCAGCTAGCTGTTTCTGATAAATCCTTTAAATACAAAATGCTTGTATCATCTCTACTAGAAATAAAATCTATAAGCAATGCTACATAATTATTCTGTGTAAACCAAGTCTGGAAAAAAACTTTCACATTCCAACTGATTTATCAATAAACACAGTAATCCACCATTAAATACCATAGGGGCAAGTATATGTTCAAAATAAATACATCATAAATAAACATCAAACGTGTCATAAAATAAATTCTTTGTCTAGATTACTGCCTTCTGCTAATCTACAAATTTCCTATGTCTTTCACTTAGAAAGCACTAATAAGACTATAAACGAGGACATTTTTTCATACATAGATAATACCCTGTTACAGACAACAAACATAGCCTAGTCCAAAACTGTTAATGCATTAATTCCCTACCAATGCAGTCTCTGACAGATGCTGCATACAAAGTACCTCTAACTATATTTAGAAGCCACATTAGTTCCAAGTTCTCTGCTGTATAGTTTACAAGGAAGGGCAGCCTACATTGCTTTGTAAACACTAACAAGAAAAAAATAAACATATTCACTGTATTAGCAGGCAAAGTAAAAAAAAAAAAAAATTACAAAGTATCATACAATACCTAAATCTCCATCTCCCCATGGCACTTCCAGCCAACTGCAATTATAAATCCTACTCATTTCTTTCAATCTGGAAAACACACAAAAAAAAAAAAAAAAAAAATCGGTTCTTGCTTGTTGTGCCTGTTCTTAATACACTCCAGCTATACTTGGAAGGAGATCAGCAGCTCACTGTAATATGAACTTTCACCCTTCAGTAAACACAGCTTTGAAGATATGAGCATATACAAGTTGCCAGTTTCTTTTCTTACACTAAAGGACTGTGTCCCTTCTTATTAATTTTTCACATTTCTTTTTTTAACATAACAACTTTTCAAAGTACCAGTATCTGTTCATTTGCCTTCTAAAACAGATTAACTGGAATTTCAACCCAGGAGAAACCCCCAGTGAAATCATGAGAACCTTTTGCTGAATAAGGACTGCAGGACAAACTCCTCATCTTTTTAACCTCATGCAATGAGACACATAGTTTTGTATTCTCCAAAATCAGTATCAGTATATTGATTTGTAAGGGAAGCACTGCCAAATGCTCATATGTTAATTTACTACTTATACTTAGGAAAGAAATAAACAAAGATATCCTGAACATGTTTCAAATGTTGTTTGATCTGTACACAGAACTATGTTTTTCTTTTAGCAGTTCACTATTGCTTCAATTATCTTCTCAACATTTCTTTGGTTGTTAAATTGGGGTTTTGACAACTATTCTCAGCAGTGAAAATCCCCCAAAATAGAGATTTTCAATTCTGACTTTGATCCATTTTTAAGTCATTCAAATTTTCTTCATGTTTTCCTACAGACTTCACCCCTTTACCTCTACCTGCAACTACCTGTAAGTCATTTCTGCACTTATGAACACAGTAGTAAAAAGATAAGTAAAAATATTTTTGTAAAAGTCATTAATTCCAGTCATCCCATCCTTTTATTTCTAAAAATTTGTGTAGTTTAAAGGAAAAAAAAAAAAAAAACAAACAAACAACACAACACAATAAACACCACCACCACAAAAAGCAGTATGAAAGCTACATTAAAAAATTGGATTCTCAAAACAAGAAGGACTGGAAATTAAAGTCTTCTCACTGACTCAATGGGAGAAGATTTATGGCAGGGATCAGCACTTCAGAAAAATACCACTTTAAGGGTAAATAGATGGTGTCCCAGTCCTCAGAAGAAACAGTATAATCAGAGAAGAACTGAAAACTGAAGCTTGCCACAATTAATTATTGGGAGATGAGTAACAGAGACTATCGGAAAGCACTGTAGCTAATATTACTTTCTGCAGATATAACAAATGCTATGTATTAAGCTCATCACTGTTACCTCTTATACCTTAAGATGCATTTTGAGTGTTTCAGTTTGTGGCAACGGAAGCAACAGACAGTATCAATAACTATAACAGAAAAACTCTGTAGCATTATAGTCCCAAAATCAACAGATTCACTTCACTCCAGTTGTTAAAACTGACTGATACTTTGTATATGTAATTAAGTTCTAAGAGATTTTACTATGGCACTATAAAATTACCCATTTGTCTAAAGCACTTGCAGGATAAGAAGAGTGTCAACTACTTAATCGATATGTGATGTTAAATACTATTGGAAAAGAATGTTAAATAAAGGATTTAGAAGTTAAGAAATGCATCTGTGGTGCCTAACTACTATGATTACATATGATCAGCAAAACAGAAGGCACCTCTTTTTAACAAATAAAATTCCAACAATCAACACTGAACAACTCCAGAAGAGAGAGAAG